TTTTTTTTTTCATCATTTGGTCTCCCAATGGGTTAGAAGTTTTAATTTTTATCCTCTATGTATCAATGGAATGTGGATTTGAAAATTAATAATAATATTTGGGGGTTTCAGACATAATATMTTCTGCCTAAACTAATAATTTTTGACCAAAATGGTCATGAGTTTAAGATTAGGTTTCTATTTAGTACCTAAATTTCAACTAAAAGTGATATAAAATTATTATATTATTAAAAAATTACCAACTCATTACCACGTCAACATTCCATCAGTGATACTAACAAAATTTTACCTCTAGGGATTTTTAGAATTATTTTCTGGTCAGGGACCAAATTGTCGCTTTTTTAAATTTATGGACCAAATAGAAACCTAATTTCAAACTCAGAGACCAAAAGTATATTTTACCCTAAATTTTTTTACATTAAAAGAGAGAGGACAATTTTTTCTTCAAAAAAAAAATTAATAAGTAAGTGTTACCTTATTATAGTATAACTAGTATAATTTTGAATTTAATAAGTTACCATATGAGTTGTCAACCTAAGTATAAAATTAGTCTAAGGCATCCATGACAAGGTTTAAAATCTCAACTCCTACATTTATCGAACTAAAACAAGAAATTAATGCAAGCTTTATATGTTATTAGTGTACATAGTATGATTGTAGTATTAAATTTAAAAAAATGGAGTACTTTTAAGTTATTTAATGTATTTTTATATTACATCATTATTGAAAAATAAAAAAAAAAACATAAAAGGAAGAAATTGACACTTTTGGAAGATTAGTGACCAAATTATATGAATAGTATAATTTCCTTTATATTTTTAACGTTGTGACTCATAGATCCTAGAATTCAAAAAAGTGTCTTCGTGAAAAAATATTTTAAAATGTGTCTAAAACTTATTTGATAGAATTTTAAGAGTTTTGAGTTGGTTTGATAACGTTCTTATTTTTTGTTATTTATTTTTTATTTTAAAATGAATAAAAATATGTTTGATAATTTTTTTTTCTTATTCTTTAAAATTTTAAATTATATAAAAATTAAAATAAAAGTTTAATACGAAAATTAATTTTTTAATTGTCAAGAATAGTAAAATAATACCTTTATTTATGTTTTGAAAAAAAAAATTGAAAAATAGGAACCGAAAACAATAAACTTTATTTTGTCTATTCAAAATTTCTACATAATTTCAAAAATATTTCTTAAAAATAAGAATGGAGAGTAGGAATAGTTATTAAATTGTCAAAAATGGGAAACAAGAAACTAACCAAATGACCCTTTATATCTAACTTATAATTGAACCTTTATTTGATTATGAAAAATGGCTGCTTTTTTTTTCTTTTCTAATTTCAATAGCTTCTTATTACCATATTGAAGAAATATAGAGTTCTAAGAGGCGAAAACAATGCCATTAGGGATATACATTAAAAGCATTTTCTTCTTGATATTTATTTACAAGAATTTTACATGTGGGGACGGAGATCGAACTCACAATCTTTTGGTTAGATATATATGTCACATTTATCGCTGAGCTATGCTCACTTTAACGTTATAATTTTTTGGATTTAGGTTCTATTTAGTTTTTAAATTTTAAAAGTGATACTTTCAGTCCTGGAGTTTGTATTCTATTTCTACTTGGTTGTTTGAAGTTTAAAAATGACATTTTTGGTTAAAAACTATATTCAAACCTCATAAAATACAAATTTTCATTTTAAAGCTTTCTAACAGTACTAACATTTTGACAT